CATGCAGGTGTTTTTGCCACCATGCCATCTAGCCCTGCTTAGAGCTGCACTGGCACAGAAAAACACATATTTTCCTAGTGAAGATATACATCTGTAGAGTGCAGATAGTAGTTGTGACACTCTGTTTCTTGGGGGAACACCCTGCACCCCCATGTTCATCCTTATAATATGATTGTGTGGTATCCAATGCAAAGTTTGTCATGTCGGGTGTCTTCGGAAGGCTCATGATGCACTGAGCATTGTTGTTATAGTAATGTTATAGGTTGTAATTTCATGTATATAGTTATGAGGTTGAAAATGTGTCCTTGGCTTAAAACAAGCCCAGGCAAAACTCTCCAGGAACAGAGGGGCACTTCACACCTCTTCAGGGCATGTATGGGACAAACCCAGCCCAGCCTCACAGGAACAAAGGACACTAGCCTAGGCAGCAACAAAGGATCTGTTGGATTCTCGAGTGAGTCACCCCCCTTCCCTTGGTCAGTTTGGGACTACGATGAGGTAATGGTCACCTGACCCTGAAGGGGGGGTAAAGCCAAGAGGGAAGAAAGAACATGATAAAAGGGAGAGACGTTTGCCATGCTCCGCCTCTCTCTTCCAGCTCCATCTACAGACACCACACCAAGCAACCGAAATGCTGATCCAAGGGGAGAGCCTGGCTGAAGGGCAACCAGCCAGCCTGTGGTGAGAAGCATCTAAGTTTGTAAGGGCATTGAAAGTGTTAAGATCAGCTTAGAATGCGTTTTGCTTTTATTTCTTTTGACCAAATCTGACTTCTTGTGCTTTGACTTATAATCACTTAAAATCTATCTTTTGTAGTTAATAAATGTGTTTGTTTATTCTACCTGAAGCAGTGCGTTTGGTTTGAAGCATGTCAGAGACTCCCCTTGGGATAACGAGCCTGGTACATATCAATTTCTTTGTTAAATTGATTAACTCATATAAGCTTGCGGTGTCCAGCGGGCATAACTGGACATTGCAAGACGGAGGTTCCTAGGGTTGTGTCTGGGACCGGAGATAGTGGCTAGTGTCATTCGGTTGCACAATCCACACAGTGACTGGCCAAAAGTGCTCACTCATGTAGCTGGGAGCAGCTTACATGCTAGAGGCTGTGCATGAACGGCCCGGGAGTGGGGGTTCTCACAGTGGCGCAGGGTAAGGCTGGCTCCCAGAGTCGAGGATTGGAGTGACCTAGCAGATCACTGGTCCAGATAACACCAGGGGAACGTCACAGTAGTTATCAATATTGCCTGAGAGGGCAATAGCATATTTACAAATAGTAGAGATGTGACAGGAGGCAAGCTTAGGTGAAGAAACAAACCAAGGTAACTCTCAGTGAAATCAAATGTAAGGTATGAGCTGATGAGCAAAATAGAAGAAATGGGTTGGTATTTGAGCATAACAATAATATAACATCTGAAAGAGGAAATCTCTTCTTCCCCTTACACTTGTCTCATTTCCTGTCTATTTCTTACACCACCAACTGTACCAAGGTACTCTTAAAAATTACTAATATTCCAGGGTACAAATCTGTACACTGACAAATAAAACTGCAAAGCTCGGTATCCAATTTCTAGTATGGGCAGTGAGCTATGAGACTTGGTTTCAACTCTATGACTTTCTTTATGACTTTGGGCAATTCACTTACCTCTCTGTGTCCTTCTGTAAAAACTGTGTATATTACTGCTTATCCACATTTTAAAAGCACTTTTAGAGTCTCAGATAAAATATGCTATATAAGTGCAAACTATTATTGTTAATATAAACATATTAATTATAACAACAGTAATTTTGTGCCAGCATACTTGATTTTGGAACAATGATTTAAAGTTAATAGAGCTTAGAATTCTGCAAATTATGTTATGAAACATTTTTAAAGTGTTTAATTCACCCTTAAAACTAGCCCATGAAGACGGTGACAGTACAGAAGTGTGTTCTTCTGTTTAAACAAGAGTGTTTCTGATCAACAAATTAATTGGTTTAAAGTGATGGCAATATTACAACAATTCTAACTTTGGGGTATATTTTACATGTTATGCTTTATTTTAGCTTTATATTACCTACTAATTTGTAAAGGTGTACAGCTTGTTGAGTTGAGAAAGTACCTTGTCTGTTGCTATAATTTTTTAGACTGTGTAGTCCTGTAAGTGATTTCTGTTGGTAGCAGGGGTGGCTCTATGTATTTTGCCACCCCAAGAACAGCAGTCAGGCAGCTTTTGGCGGTGCACCTGCGGGAGGTCCGTTGGTAAACGTGGATTCAGCAGCATGCCTGCGGGAGGTCCGCCGGTCCCGTGGCTTTGATGTACCCGCTGCCGAATTGCCGCTGAAGCCGCGGGACTGGCAGACCTCCTGCAGGCATGCCACCGAAGGCTCCCTGACTGCCACCCACACAGCGACCAGCAGGCCGCCTCCTGCGGCTTGCTGCCCCAAGCACACGCTTGGTGTGCTGGTGCCTGGAGTTGCCCCTGTTTGATAGACAAGTTATTTTAGAAAATATTGTGGATGAAATCCTGGCCCCATTTAGGTCAATAGCAAATTGCCCATTGGCTTTGATAGGGTCTGCATTTCACCCTATGTGTTTATTTAGATTTCTCTTTTCATCAGGATAGAGGAATTGGCCTTGAAAGCAAATATCCCAGAGTGACTCTAAATATCTTATTTTTTATGTATCTGCACTTAAAATTGCTACCAAGCCAATGAGCCCACTTGGTTCTAGACTATTCATAGAACTTCATATATAGGAGTGTCTGTATCTATTTCCAAACCTGTTTTAGTACTTTCCATATATTTTTACATTTTTGTAACACCAACTTTTCTACTGTTTATACCCTGTATTTTTTTTCCTTGCAAATACCTAACTGACTTTTGTTCAGCTATGTTCAGAGCTGAAGTTTCTGTTGCTGCTTTGTCATATCTGTTTGGCAAAATGCGATTTTAATTTTTTTATAATTTCAATTGATGATATCAACGTTTATTTTTAAGCATTTTTCTATTTTTATTTATTTAAATTTTCACAGCTGTGCAAAGTTATGGATTTTATACTTTTTTCAATTTTTTATCAATTTAAAGTTTCACGTTTGCAGGAAATTATGGGGGAACAGATAATGAGGGAGTCAGACAATAATTTAATTACAGTAGACACTGAGATTCAAAGAATTAAAGCTTTATAAGGATTAAAACACAAATTGTCAACATCACATAAAACTATACAAACTAAATATAGTTCAGTGGTTTGAACATTGGCCTGCTAAACCCAGGGTTGTGAGTTCAACCCTTTAGGGGCCACTTAGGAATCTGGGGCAGAAATCAGTACTTGGTCCTGCTAGTGAAAGCAGAGGGCTGAACTCAATGACCTTTCAAGGTCCCTTCCAGTTCTATGAGATAGGTATATAATATAAATAATACACTAATAAGTTCTCAAGCAACACTGTTCTTACTTTGCCTATCTGTAAATTTCTATTAGCGATGTAACTTTTTTTTTTTAGTTTGGGTGTGTTCCCAAATCAACATTTACCAATAAAATCTAATCCTCCGAGGCTGAGACTTATCTAAGGCCTTGTGTGACAAGCAGTTCCAGACACTGGTTTTTCTGAGGTAACCAAGGCCTTTTGCACAGTCAGTCATGCTATATGGATTGATAAATTGTTGTGTCCTGAATTTGGTCATTCTTTTTGACTGGGACCTGGAATTATGACTGACACATTTCAGAGTGTCAATTTTTAAAAATATATTGTCTCTCTAAAATGTCCTTCAAGTTTGGGGATTGTACATTTGATTCTGGTATCAGCACAAACATGTAATGGTTTTCATTATTAAGAGTGATATTGGGTTATCATTCACCTTTCTAGTCTCATACTAGGTTGTACTTCTTCAAAATGGGGGCGGGGGTGGGAAGAGCAAATAATTTTTAAAACCTTTCTTAATTTCCCAGTAAGCATTAAAGACAATGTAACAATGAAAAGGTGTAGCTTTTTGCTGGTATTTAGCAGCCTAAAGGTCACATGCAGTGACATACTTCTTCTTAGAGAAGGGATCCTGAGCTTTTCCTCTATCTCCATCTAGTGAAGAGTGTATCATGATCAGTGGAACTGGAGTCAGAGGGCCCATGTTACCTAAGGACATTGTTATTGAGGGGACACCAGGGAAACGGAATAGAGGGAGTTAGGCTGGAAGTAACTCAGCCACATGAACAGAGAAATGCACAGGTTTAATAAAGTTCTAATTGTTCAACTTTCACTGCATTCAGCTTCATGCTTTGTGAATGAAACATAGTGATAGTGTCTGAGCTGTGAGTTTTCTGCAGTACAACTGGTAGCATGAGCGATGGAACTCAGAATGAAGCCCCTGGAGACCTGGATTTTGCAGACACAAACCTAGCCCAGTGATGATCTGGTGGAAGGAGGAATTTGAGCTGTACACAGACCTGGTAATGCAACAGAATGACAACAGCAGCAAAGTAAAACTGTATTTAGCTTATTGTGGAACAAGGCAGAGAGGTCTGCACCACTCTGAAGTTCACCACTGCCTCAAGCTTCACAATAGTCCTAGGAGGCTTGGAGACCTAGGTTGGAGGCGAGCCCAGGATTGTTGAACCTGTAGGTGCACAAGACTGCAGCATCTGTGTTTGCTACTGGAGAAGCCCCAATATGCATCTCCCTCTCTGAATCCCGGGCCTTTCTCCAGCCCACTCTTCCTTTTTTCATATTTTCCACTCATGGTATCATTAGAGGATGGAGTTAAGGTTGTTTTGTACTTTGTGTAATGCTATACCTTAATATGTTTGGATTTCTTTTAAGTGTAACCTTAGCTGTGAATTCCCTGAAAAGGAAACTTTTTAGAGGCCAAGGAATGGCATGAGGACCTTTGAGCCTAGGGTAAAATACACACAGCTAGAGATGGTGTAGACAACCACTGCATCAACAAAGAAACCAGGATGCCCCTGCTGAGGGGTGACTATTAGAGCCCAAATAAGCTGAAGACTCAGCTCAGGAAAGGAGCAAAGGTTTTGTGTTGTACAGCTGTTTATTTCAGAAGAAGAAAGTATAGACTTTGGATTTTCACCAGAGTCAAAAGCACAACAGTGGCCTGTAATCCTGTGAAAGACCACAGAGAATGAAACTGAGGGTCCATACTGTTGGTTAATGGTGGAAAAGACAGATGTAAGAGAGACTCCATTACAAGCACTCTAGTTTCATTAAAGGATTTTGTGATTTGTTCATTTGTTTTCTCTCTCTCAAACCTGACCTTGCTGGGGAGTTTTAGCTGCTAAGTTTCCATCACATCAGTGAGTTGTTCTAGATTTCGTTCTGATGGTGAGCCACGTACATTCTGGGTGTATCTTATGGAGGCTCATGTAGCCTAAAAATATCACCTTTTCAGCAGATTCTCTTCAGTCGCGAAATTATGAGTTTAGATAAAGAATGAATACAGTAGCCTTGTTTACACTTCATTGTTGTACAAGTTCTCCAAGTAAATCAGCAGACATTTCTCTTGTGGGATGAACTGAACAAAATCTGCAATTGTTATTCAAAATGATTGCCTTCTCTTTTCACTTTTGATGGCTGTGGTTGCAACTGCAGAGTTTACGTTGTGTAAATGAAGCCCTTTCTAGTAAGAAAACTGAGTCCACTGCTGTCATATACAACATATGTGCATAAGAACATAAGAACGGCCATATTGGATCAGACCAAAGGTCCATCTAGCCCAGTATCCTGTTATCCGACAGTGGCCAATGCCAGGTGCCCTAGAGGGAATGGACAGAACAGGTAATCATCAAGTGATCCGTTCCTTTGCCCATTCCCAGCTTCTAGCAAACAGAGGCTAGGGATTCCATCCCTGTCCATCTTGGCTAATAGCTAACATTTTTCAAGCAACAAGTATGTATAAAACATTAATGAACATTGTCTTGGAACATTATTTACTATAGTACATGTGATATAAGGATTTGTGAGTTGTAAAACTTCTGTCCAGCTAGCTTTACCTGTGGCACACTTGTCCTTAACAGACTAAGAACTACAATTTACATTCATTTCATATAATCATACCAAGCTTTTGGAAAGATTGCCACGTGCCTTGGAACTCCCAGGGGTACAGTTTCTCCCAGTACAATGCTTATCATTGCTAGAATGTGTCTAATGTGCATAATTAATTCTTTGATTTTATTTCTTCTTGTGGCTTGAACTTTATCCCTCTCTTTTTTCCCTAAAACAAACTTAGATGATTCTTGGTATATAGCTTGGAACATCATCCCAAGGTTGCTTACAGGTTACTATGGGAGGAGGAAAAAAATAAGACTGGTATGGAGTAAAGGATGCACAGAAAGAAGAGGAGTGGTACAAGGATGGTGTCTTATGATATGTTAGAGATGTAAAAGAGACACTGAAATATAAGCAAGAGGAGCATTCAGTAAGGTAGGTAAAGACCCAAAGGAGGCCAGTGTTAACTCAAGAGGGGAGATGATATGAGGAAGGAAAGTATGGTTTATAATGTTTACACTGTTCAGCCAAGAAACTGAAGAGGGATAAGAACAGGAAAAAAAAGCAATTGGATTTAGCTTATGCCAGGTCAGTGGAGTCTTTGAGAGCAATATCAGGCTACTGGAAGTGGACAAAGAGGAAGTGAACATAGGATTTTGAAAGAATGGGAGTAAAACTGTTCATCTGAAGTAAGTGGAACAGGAACAGAGAAATTAAACGGGCTGGTAGTTGAAGAGGCTGAGGGAATTAAAACAGGGTTTTAGCTGAGTGATAGTTCAAAATTCTATTTTAATAAAACATACTTACTACAGATAATTTAAAATGTTTATAGAGGTTGTTATGAACAGAATAAATCTATCATAATGCAGTTTAAGGTTTGCAAAATCTAAAGTGAAACTTAAAAAAATCATTATCTGCAGTGCTTTAAAAATAACTAGGTGTACAGTAATGCAAATAATAAAAACTAAAATATGGTAATAGAATTTATGGAAAACAAAAACCCCCACAATGGATAAGTATAGTTAGCATTATTCCATTTCTCATCTTTAAAGATGATTGTAATTTAACCTGTTCCTTTTAATGTGTTCACATTATAAATGTTGGAAGGTTTTTTTAAATAATGTATGTTGTATTTTTGTGTTTAAAAAGACAAAATGTATATAGCGATTTAATAAACACTTAAAAGATGTAGTTCTGACTTGGCAGAAAAGGAGTTAAAAGTTGAACCATCTGAGGAAGCAATCGGAACATTCCATTACCCATATGAGAAAGGGGGTGGGGGGATTTTTTGCAATCAGTTAGTTATTTGACAATATTTTTTAAACAAAATTTCAAATGACTTAGTGAACTTATAGTTATAAACCATAAGAGATAAATCTGCAAATTAAAATAAGCAAACCTGAGGTAAAATTCTAAGGGACGTCTCTCTCCCCTTTTTATAGACAAGCTCCAAGGAACAGATGGGTCAGTCTGGCTGCAGTGGTTCTAGGCACAAGACAACATTGACCCTGGTTAGTTCTGGGCTTGCAAAGTATTTCAAGGTCCTTTTGACCTGCTTAAGTATTTCCTTTCAGCACAATCACAATTCACTTAATAATCACAGCAATGGCATCCAGTGACAGTCAGGCCTCATTTACCTGAATGAGGCTGGGGAGAAAGAAGGGAAGAACATGATAGTAATTAAGATAAATGTAGCACTGAGAGGTCTTAATATATCTTTGGACCTCAATTATCTAGAGATCTCAGGGGACACCCCAAAACTTTGTTTAATCAAGAATTCAGTTACTGGGGGAACCATTTTAAAGTGTAAATAATAACTTCACCTGATGTGCTAAAGTAAAATGTCATTAGGCCATTTCAAATCTCTAGGTAGCAGAGTTTTAATGGATTTGGCTAATCAAGATCTTTCTGTGTATAATATTGAGGGACATGTCCAGGTTTCAAATAAATAAAGTAGTTTTTTGGAGAACTGAGGCTAGGCTAATTTAGACCCTGAGTAAGCTAGTTTTCAAAACTAGGTGCCCAAATACAGATTTAGATGCCTAAATACTTCTTATAGGCATCTGAATGCACTTTAAGAAAGCAAAGTGTTTTAAACTTCCAATTATGTTCTTTGTGATATTTTTAACAGTTCAGCATAATTGGTTTGCTATTATGAAGTGAGATAGCATGGTCTCTCTGATTTACAAGGCAATAATAAGAGTCCCAAGAAAGTGAGAAGTCATGTCCTTCAATCTGTATCTGGAGTGTTTGGATAACTGTAGCCATTCAAAATGTTTGGGAAGTTGTTGGTGTAACAGCAGCCATTTTATCGATGGTAAACAAGAGCAGAGTTATATTATCATAGGGGAAAAAATGTGTAGCACAATAGATATGTATGATGCTTTATTGGCAACTATGAACAAGACAAGGTCCTTACCCTGTGGAGCTTTAAAATCTAAAGTTAAACCAAAATCACAACAAAGAGAACAGAGTCTCTGGGGAAGTAAATGGTAAACAAATGGAGAGGGATAGCCCTTTGTAGTCCCAATTTTCTGCTGCTATATCTTCTAAGAAAATAATACCTATGTAGAATATAAAACTGCTTCTATCTGCCAGCGTCTCTTCTAAATACCTGCTGTTTAATAAAATTAATAATTAGGAGGCTAGTATTAAATGCAGAGAGACCAAGTACTGAATGGAAGTAGAGACTGAACTACCTTCTCAACCTTTAGAGGTGGTCTCTTCAGGGCTGAGGTATAACAGCAGAGCAGTGCAAGGAAGCTTGAGTTATTGCTGCCCTATTTCATGGATAAATAAGGACTTCAGTCTCCAGTGTTATCAATTCAGGACCTCTATATTCACACACGCACAAAAATAGCACTTTAGAAAAAGACTCCAGTATGATTTTGCAATCAGAGAGAAACATGTATGCAGACACACATCTGTTATATTATTAATACTATAACTTGTTGCTTAGCATATATACTGTTGCTAAAACTTTTGTCTTTTTGTTTTGTTTTATGATTTGTGAAGAAAAAAGATATTGTATTTCTTTTTTCCCTGTTAACTTTTTAAAAAAGTAGATAGAGAGAAAAAAAATACACATAAACTTCTCATAGTATATTAGGCATTTGCTAACTAACCTTAATTATACTTGAAACAGGAAAGATATTTCTAAACCTAAAAGTTAACTACAATATCACAACTACCAGGACAGTTATATATACACCTCTACCCCGATATAATGCGACCCAATATAACATGAATTTGGATATAACGTGGTAAAGCAGCACTCCGGGGGAGGGGGCGGGGCTGCACGCTCTGGCGGATCAAAGCAAGTTCGATATAACGCGGTTTCACCTATAACATGGTAAGATTTTTTGGCTCCCGAGGACAGCGTTATATCGGGGTAGAGGTGTATATCTATTTATTATTACAGATATACTGAAGTGAAGAATTGTTTCTTTCTGGAAATTGCTAATGAAGATTTCTCTATTTCATTTCAGGCATTTTGGCAACCCCCATATATAGAGGTTTTTTTGTGAAATTTTGGGGTGCTAGAGAAATTATATCAAATCTTATGAAGAGCAACCTTCTCAAGAAAGTCTGATAGATATCTCTGAAATTATTTTTTGGAAGAGGACAAAGGTGAGAGAGATGGTAAGAAAAATATTCAGCATTGAAGGAAGCTTCCATTATTGCTGTCCTGTTTAGTGGATAAAAAAACATGTCTGCCAAACTGAAATAATTTCCTTTTCTCCTTTAAATAAGCCTGGCCAGATTCCTAGGATTACAAAGGCAACATAATAAAATAAAAACATGCAAACTCCACCTTTAATATAGCAACATGAGATATGAAAGCACACAGTAAGCCAGCCTGAAAAATGGAAATATATATGTGATAGAGGAACATCTAAAAGTTCGGACTTCAATTTACATAAGCATCCAAACCTACAGACTCCTATCACTGGGTGTGGGCCGTACAACCGTTGTCTCCATACAATCCTCCTCCCATCTTCATCAAGTCTTATGACAGACACTCACTATCACCAATAACCTCCCAATAATCATCTCCCTTCTTTACTTGGTGTTTACTTGTTCTTGAGGACGATTTGTGGCCTGCTCTGCCATTGAATATCTTTGGCAATCAGGTGCATGCCCGTTCCAACAATCTTTTGGAGCAATCCCTCTCCCCATCCCCCCCATACTCCTCCTGTCTTTCACATGGACATAAGCAAAAATTATGCTGTTGTGGTACTGCTGAGAATGAGGAGTAGGGTTTAGTGAAACAGGGAACCTTAAGACAGTGGCTCTCAACCTTTCCAGACTACTGTAACCCTTTCAGGAGTCTGATTTGTCTTCTGTACCCCAAGTTTTACCTCATTTAAAAACTACTTGCTTACAAAATCAGACATAAAAATATAAAAGTGTCACAGCACACTATTACTTAAAAATTACTTACTTTCCTATTTTACCATATAATTATAAAGTAAATCAATTTGAATATAAATATTGTACTTACATTTCAGTATATAGTTTAGAACAGTGTAAAACAAGTAATTGTATGTGTCAGAGTTCCCTCCCTACTCTGAACTCTAGGGTACAGATGTGGGGACCTGCATGAAAGACCCCCTAAGCTTATTTCTACCAGCTTAGGTTAAAAACTTCCCCAAGGCACAAATTCTTCCTGGTCTTTGGATGGTATGCTGCCACCGCCAAGTGAGTTAGACAAAGATTCAGGAAAAGGACCACTTGGAGTTCCTGTTTCCCCAAAATATCCTCCCAAGCCTCTTCGCCCATTTTCCTGGGGAGGCTTGAGAATAACATACCAACCAAATAGGTAAGTAAGGTAAATAAGCACAGACCAGACCCTTGGATTTTTTAGGACACTAAAAACCAATCAGGTTCTTAAAAGCAGAACTTTATTATAAAGAAAAAAAGTAAAAGAAGCACTTCTGTAAAATCAGGATGGAAGGTAATTTCACAGGGTAATAAGATTTAAAACACAGAGGATTCCCCTCTAGGCAAAACTTCAAAGTTACAAAAAACAGGAATAAACCTCCCTCTTAGCATAGGGAAAATTCACAAGCTAAAACAAAAGATAACCTAATGCATTTCCTTGCTATTATTTATAATTTGTAATCTTAGATGCTTATTTCAGATATGGCTTTAGGAGATGTATTTTTTCTGCCCTGGTCACTCTCTGTCCCGGAGAGAACAACAAAGAGAGTACAAAACAAAAACCTTCCCCCACAGATTTGAAAGTATCTTCTCCCCTTATTGGCCCTTTTGGTCAGGTGTCAACCAGGTTATTTGAGCTTTTTAACCCTTTACAGGTAAAGGAGGGATTTTATGTTACCCTTAGCTGTATGTTCATGACAGTATGGTATTTTAGTTTTTATTGATTTTGTTGGTGCTTTTTATGTAGCTTGTTGTAAAACTAGGCAAAAAGCTAAATGAGTTGATGTACTCCCTGAAAGACCTCTACACACACCCTAGGGGTGCACATACCCCTGGTTGAGAACCACTGCCTTAGAAATACCATGCTAACTATGTGATGAAACCAAGCTATTACAGTTCAAAACTCAAATGTACTATGAAAAGCTGCCCTTAAATGGTCGTTGAGATCCAGATAGTGAAAAAAAGTCATAAACAAATATTTTGTTTAAGTCATGTATGTGACAGACTTTGAAGAAAACACTTTTGGAATGCTAAATAAATTCAAAGGCACAAACACTGAGTATTTTAATTTGCATCATGTACATCTACACAGCTCTAGTTGTGATGTTCCTTAGTCCAAAAATTAACTGCGGTAGCTCTGAGAATTTTCTAGTAGTCTATTTTAAGCTATTATAGTACTAATAGTGTGCTAAATACTTTTATAGACAAGCTAAAAACAAAGTTGCCACACAGAACTTGCAACCTAAATACAACCTTTTGAAGATAGGTGAGAAAAAATTCTGGTAAAGGAATGATTGTGTTAAAATATTTTCAACTGCAATACAGTCTATAGATGTTTAACATTTTTCCCTGAACCAGCTCATGTATCATAATTTCATATGACTACTTTTTTGTAAAGAAAACAGATGCAACTCTGATAAAATATAAGTTTTGACTAAACGTGCTCTCCAGCTGATCCTTAGCTGATTTACTTTATAAAGTGTTTTTCAAACACAGATATCATTCACTGTATTGTTTTTGCCATCATTGACATGGCACATAAATTCAATTCAAGCACTATCTTTTATACTGGGGTGGGCAAACTTTTTGGCCCGAGGGCCACATCTGGGTATAGAAATTGTATGGCAGGCCATGAATGCTCACAAAATTGGGGTTGGGGTGCAGGAAGAGGTGCTGGCTCTGGCTGGGGGTGGGGCCAAAAATGAGGAGTTCAGGGTATGGGAGGGGACTCCAGGCTGAGGCAGGGGGATGCAGGCTCGGGGATGGGGCTGAAGGGGTTTGGAGTGTAGGAGGGTGCTCTGGGATGGGACTGAGGGTTTCGGAGGGTGGGAGGGGGATCAGGGCTGGGGCAGGGGGTTGGGGCATGGGGGGTGGTGAGGACTCCGGCTGGGGGTGCAGGGGCTGGGAATGAGGGGTTTGGGGTGCAGGAGGGTGCTCCAGGCTGGGACCGAGGGGTTCAGAGGGCGGGAAGGGGATCAGGGCTGGGGCAAGGGTGCCGGGGCGTAGCTCAGGGGTGCAGGCTCCAAGCGGTTCCCGGAAGCAGCGGCATATTCCCCCCTTCGGCTTCTATGCAGAGGCATGGCCAGGCGGCTCTGGTGTGCGCTCCCCTGTCCGCAGGCGCCACCCCTGCAGCTCCCATTGGCCATGGTTCTTGGCCATGTGAGCTGTGGGGGCAGCGCTTGGGGCAGGGGCAACGTGCGGAGCCCCCTGGCTGCCCCTACACGTAGGAGCCGGAGGGGGGACATGCCGCTGCTTCCGGGAGTGTGCGGAGCGGCCCCCAACCCTGCTCTCCAGCTGGAGTGGGGCAAGCCCCAGACCTCACTGCCCAGTGGGAGCTCAAGGGCTGTATTAAAACAGCTGATGGGCTGGATCCGGCCCATGGGCCGTAGTTTGTCCACGCCTGTTTTATACCCATCACTCCCCACTAAGGGGATACAACATATCCTCCCCCTCCATAAACAAGTCTTTTCTGTTGCCAAATTGGCCAGAAGAGTAGTAAAATAGTTGGTTTTAAGGAAAACCTCTTTAGGGTGGTAGGTCCTTGAAGACAGACTGGTAGAACTTTGGATTCTGAAGGATCTTTGTCAGTGAGAAGGGACAGTAAAAGGGAAAAGAGGGCAACTAGGGGCTTTTTGTGTCTGTCTTCGGGAGCAGCTGAGGATGAAACACTCAAAAAATGCTTGGGAAAATACAGTCTAAAGAGAAAAGATGAATAATCCCTGAGAAAATGCAAAAAAAAAAATAAAGGCTTTGAACAGAAGAGAGACAGCATTAACTAGACTAATGGAAACTGGAACTTGAGCCTGGAGAAAAGCACAAGATGGTGAGATATAACTCTGGAAATGAAGGGGAACGTGAATGAAAATACAGAAAAACACTGAGAAACTTGAAGAAATCTCTGAATGGCTGTTATATGGGATATAATACAGAATGGATGATTGTCAGGATAAAGTATCTCAGGAACCACAGAGTACATATCTTTATTTGATCAATTCAATCACTTAAACCCCTCATAGATGATTAGGAGTTATGGGTCATACCATGGTGCTATTTAAGAAAATTATTTCCCCTAAAATTACAGTAATATATCCTATGTAACCAATTATTTTGATTATGTTTGTGCAGGTAATGTACAGGCAAAGATACATATATACATACTGGAGTCTCCTCAGGCCAGGGACTGTGTCTTCTTATGTTTGTACACTGGCTAACAGAATGGATGCAATCCTGGTTAGGGCTCCTAAGCATTACTGTAATATAACTGAAACAGTAACAAACATGAGTTTGTAGATTAATATACTCCTAAAAAATATACAAAGATAAACTCCATTGAAATTAAATTCTTAAAATTAACATTGCACCTGTCACTGACCATGTTTATCATACTTAAGATTTCAAAACAATTTCCATTATAACTTCCTATTTTCACTCACATATGATTTAAAAACAATACACAATCTTCCCCTATTAGCCTCCAACAGACACATGTTTTGAGCTGAATCTTTCTAGGCTTTGTCTCTGTCCAAAGGTAAATTATTTTCGGAAAATCTGAGGGGAAAATCATTTAGACAATTTTAAAATATGGGAGAGTAAAAACAAATGAAGAAACTTTAAAAGTTGGAAAACAAATAAACCACTAAATGGAAAATGGACTTTTCTAAGTTTGAATAATTGTTTTTTTAAAGAATTATGATTGTTTGAAAATTACATATGATGCATCTCTAATTGAGATATTCTTCTGTCTTTAGGTTTTTTGCCTTTTTTTGTGAATCTAGCCCATCTTCTTGCAAGGGATAGAGGTCAAATGTTTATGCTGACTTTAACAACCTTTGATTCCCTTGATCATGAAGGTGTACTGATTCACTTGCACATCCTGACAGAAAAGACAGAATTACTTTAGTGCTTCTCAGAAAGATCTCAGAGTGTGTTAGGAATTTACTTATTAATCCTCATAGCTCTCATGTGGGGCTCCACAGGATTTGAAATTTGCTTTCCCTGTATGGGTATGTAACTATCATGGAATTTTATGTTTCTTTAATCATAAAACCTAGAGAGTGAGTTTGCTTTTCCAGTGTCTAGCCAATACAATATCTTTGACGGAAAAGATCCATCTGAAATTCAGTCCAGAAAAGACAGAGGTTAGTAAGTGGGGAGGAAGTATCTGGAAGGTATGTTGGGGACAGTGCCCTTAAAATTCAGTCCTTCATTGGGCTTCCAAACAAGCCTTGTCCCCTTTTAGGGATTTATAGCACTTCACCAGTGGTTGGTGGGAGAACCTGGGCCTGCCCACTACTTTGGGTTCTAACCCCGAAGCCCTATAAACAGCAGCCACTTAAATTTGTTACTGCTATTTACCTGGGCCTCTTTCCACCTGGCCCTTTTATCTTCACCTCTTACCTCATGGTTAAAGTTCTCAGGTCCTCACTCTCTGGTTGTTGCTCAAGTTCCTTTGGCCAGAGAGGAGCACTCTTCCTTACCCTTTGGTCCCATTTTATCTGAGCCTGATGGACTCTGGTTTACTGCTTTCATGCAGCCTCTCTAGGCACAACTGAAGGACCCAGCTTCGCTACTCCTTTCCTGGGGTGAGGTGTAGTAGGACCACAAGACCTCCAGGAAGGGGCTATGAAGGGCCTGGTACACCCCATCACAGCATGCTTTTGGATCCTCATATTCTTTTTCTGGATTTCAAAGTTCTTTCAGTGACAAAACTCTTTTCGCATCTGCATCTTGTAAGGTGACTGATCAGTTCTCTCTCATGTGGATCTCCTTACCACTGGCCATTCCGTTAAGATGTTGATATTGGATTACTGCTATTTGCTCTACATGGGCTATCCTTGAAGCTCACTCAGAAATTGCATTTGCTGCAGAAGGCAGACACCTGCTTGGCTGGAGTATTAGCCACAGGGAGCCCTTTGTGGATACTCCCAAAGAACATTTGTATAAATACTGATCTTGTGACATCTGGATATCTAAAGGTTAGAATCCACTCCTAATAGGATTATTTGGAAATAACTCTAAACTGAAACTCTGGGAGTTTTGTAGCTTTCTATGTTTTTCCCCTACAGGAGGGCACAATTTGCTCTCTTGAATTATACATGGCTTGAACATTTCACACAAAAAGAAAAATTCTTAATACAGTTGTATTAATGTAAGTTCCTAAAATGAGTCTTAGAGCTTCTGGACTGGGGGGAAAAAAAAGGTTTTGTAGTTACTTTACAAGAAAAAGAAAATGAATCATTTCGTGCTATGTTATCCGAATTTCCTGTTGCTTGATTATACTAAAGAACTAGTATAAGGAAACTTGCAATGGGATAGAATTTTACACTCAGTTCCTATATTGGAGAAAATAAATGGTCACTGCCAGATTGTAAACCTGAAAATCATAACATAGTTATCTGTACACATATCTTATTCCCTACGCTGCAGGCTACTTTGGCTGGGTTGGTTTTTTTTTAATCCGTATCACTGAAAGTTTCACCTGACCTTAAGGTTATTTACTTCTCAAGATGAATATTCCCCAGTGAATTAATTATATGGTGCAATTATTTGTGCCTGTGGATAAGAGTCAATGCAATAAGCATTACTTTATATTTACATTCTTGGCAAATAGCATTCATCATTGCCTTACTCCTATTCACTACTGTAACTCAGACTTAATACCAAAATCCTCAATAACTTGATAAATTTAGAATGCTAGTTGAGCTACACTGCATTCTACCCATAGAACATATATGCAATGAATTCCCAAAATTGTGCACAAAAGTTTTTTAAATTGCCAGCAAGTTTTATTAATTTATTTAAAAATATAAACTGTCTTGTGAGGGCTTTTTATTTATGCAGATATATCGAAGACCTTCCAAAAAATTCTGTGCAGAAATCAGTACATATTACATATGAATTGAATAATCATTAAACAGAAATAATGGTAATAATAAAAAGCTCTTGTATATCACTTTTTATTTAGAGATCTCAAAGCGTTTTACAAAGGAGGTAAGTATCATTATCCTCCTTTTACAGATGGGGAAGCTGAGATGAAGTGAGTTACCCAAGGTCACCCAGGAGGCCAGTGGTAGAGCCAGAAATAGAATCCAGGTCTCCTGAGTCCCACTTCGGTGCTCTATCCATTACTAGAGTACACCATACAGAACTTAAAATGAGGGAAAACTTGAATGGATATGTTACACCAGATCCTGTAAAAACAAATGGAAAAATTACAGTGCATAGTTCTTTTATTCATTCTAACAAGTAATCAGAAAATTAAAGAAGTGTGCACATTTAGAGTGATGATGATCTTAGATTTACAGTGATAATAGCCATACATTTGTCATTTAGAGGAAAAGATGTAGACTTAACTGCCTTCCACTGACTTCAAAGGAAGCAGGATGAGGCGTAAAACTTTTGCAGACTTATCACCTGCAATTCACTTTTGTTGTAACATTTTGTTTTTATAACTTTCATGACACCATAATCTTTCTTCCTCCTGGACATCAATCATATAACATGATGAATCTATGTATAAGAAATTGTTCTGTAGACATATATGACCCGATACTTATAGTTAGACGTGGAGTCCAATAAAGACAATGGACTACAGAGATCTACTTGTATGGATCTGATTGCAGGATCAAGACCTTACTTTTTTACTGTAATAACCTTTATATCCAATTGCTTCTAGATAAGTAAAATATATTTAGTTTTTACTTGAGCTTAATTTTACAGTAATTCTGAATCTATCATGTCATAACAATAGTATCCAAAACAACCGTTGCTTCCAATTCTTTAATTACTTTTCTGATGCAGATCTAATGTAATAAAATGACAATTTTCCCAAGTGGGGGTAATAGGTGACTATATAAGAAAAAGCTCCAAATATCGGGGCTGTCCCTATAAAATCGGGACATCTGGTCACCCTAATTATGTGATGCATAAGCATTTGCAGGATCAGGGCCTAAATGGTTATGTGGAACAAGTGTAGGTAACAAATTTCAGACAAAAGTGTGGTTTAAGTTGTCTGTCCCTTTAAACTTATATACGTTTATCCATATGAAATTAGTATAATCAATACAGCACTAAAGTAAGATATCCCTCCTGCCTTCACCCAAAAATATGTAGTTTTTAAAAACATTATATTCCACTCTGACACTCTGAACTTGTTTTCAATTTGAGAGGGACAGCCACGTTTTTGAAACGGTGGTGGAGACATACCTGGTATTATTCAAGCAATCATCACATAGAGGTCAGAGAGGATCCAGTTGCATTGCATGCAAGAGCAATGTCATGATCTGGAAGGCATTTCTCCCATGTGTAAACTACCTCTATCCATAGCCGAATGGATGCATTCCACAACATTTACAGGTACTTACTGTCCAATTGTATGGTCCAATCCTGCAATCCTTACTCAAACAAGACTCCTATTGACATCAACTGGAGTCTTGTCTGAATAAGGACTGCAGGATCGGAATCTCAATAGTGAGCAAAAAGGAGGCGGTTAACCCAGCATAAATGAACGACACACACTTCGTACTATCCTATGGTATGATCACACACAATGCCCGAACAGAAAATAGAAAAGCCTTCTGACTAGGGCTGTTGCCTTCGCCAAAGATTCCTTCACAACGCATAATTAGCCTAGTAAAGTCTTTTCTAGGAAAATCTGGCAACAAACATTTCAATTTCCAGCCAAGGAGCCTTCACTTCAACAGCAGTCTCTCCCCTCCTCTGCACTTGCTCAAGAAGGCTGATTTTAAAAATCAATTATTCGGTTACCATCCTCATCCATACACAGCAACATTCTCAGCATCTGATGTTTCAAATCCGGCTACATCAGCATCTTAACACACACGGACAAGAACAACAATAAAACAAGATCCAGCAAGTTTCCAAGGTCTGCTAAATCGCAGTCATTCGGGACGGGAAGATTGCCTTCTTTTGGGATTCATTTTAATGCACCTTTTCAAGTATCTCATGCGAGGAAGGATTTTGCAGTTATTTAAAGTCTTCCTTCTCATCAACATTAAAAGAAAATCTTCTTTCAAATGGTGCCCTCTTCACAGATCGCAGGTTCCCTTCTGCTTAGCGCAGGCCTAAGTCCAAACTCCAGTCGGATTCATCTAGATGATAAAGGGAAAAGAAAGAGAAACTCGGAGGCAGAGGAAGGGTGGAGAAAAGGAGAGATAGAGACAGAGAGGGACATCAGCTGTGGCAGCCGAGAGGCGAGACGAGGCAGACGGAGAAGCTCCAGCTGCTGTGTGTTGCAGGGAGGGGAGGAAAGCAGTGGCGGTGGCGGAAACAGGGCTGGCTGGCTGGCTGGGTGAACGAGGAGGAGGCAGCAGCAGCAGCAGCGGCGGCAGAGGGAAGGGGGAGGCTGTTGGTGTTTGGCGCCGGTGGAGGGAGTCATTCCTGCAGCTGCACTTCCGGTCGGCATTTTGTTCTGAGAGGGAGAGAGAGACACACAGGATCCTTCCCCCTCCTCCTCCCCCCCCCGCTCGGTACCGACTCACCGTGCCCAAACTACCCCCCCTCCCCCGCTCGCATACACTCACACGCACAGAGGGAGAGGCGGTGGCGGCAGCGGCGGGCCAGTGGCAGCGGCCCCCCGGGTCGGTGTGTGTCTCGGAACCGGTTCTGCCCGGCCCGTGTTGATGTTGTGAAGCAGGCTCAGGGGGAAGGGATTTGTCTCGGCCGCTCACCCTCCGGCTCTACATGTTCGCTGCACTGAGGAGGAGACGGAAGAGGAGCCAGCCCCCCTCCCGGCCCGGATTATTGTTGTTATATTATCTCCCCTCCGCCTCCTGCTCCGCGGCGGCGGCGGCCCAGCAGCGGCGGCGGCTCCTCTGAGGAGGGAGGGGGGCGGATTCCTCTCCCCCTCTCTCGGATTCTCGTTGGATTCAGACGCGGATTTGCTCAGGTAATTCCCCCTCCTTGTCTCCCCTTCCCCTCCCTGCCCTCTCCAGCAGCGGGCCGGGCCTCCAGCGCAGGCGGCCCAGCTCTGCCGGGAGCAGAGGGGATTAGCTGTTACCCGGGTAGAGGGGGAGTGAGGGGCAGCCGGAGGTGTTCCTTGCACAACCCCCTTCCTTCTCTGTAGGGTTTGGCGGAGGAGGTTGGCTCTTCCCGGGCTGCCGGGAGGCTCAGGCCCGGCGGAGGGCGCAGGCCGCCGGCCAGCGCCTTCACTCCAGCTCGGGGATTAGAGAGGCGAAGCGGCTTCTCAGTGACAGGCCTCAACCCGGAGAGCAGCAGCAGGAAACAATACAATTAACAGCAAATGTGCAATGATCCCTTACCATATTTATAACTTCACTGGGGAGGTCCCAGCGCAACCAGCCCAGAGAGACTTCTGGACCGGGAGAGAGTAGTGTGAGGAGCAGGGAGAAATAAATATTTCCATTATACCTAGAAACAAATATACCTGTTATCCTCACCATTCTCTCTCCTTAAACAAACTCCAGTTTGAACATTCAAAAGTTAATACATATGGAGTTGTACAGTTTAAAGGATTGAACTCCCCAATATATAGTAATTGACTCGCATTGTAATCACTACTTTTATTTATAGAATACAATTAGTCCTTGTTGAATGATTGACACACCATGAACACCTGCAGACCCCAGGAAATATACATGGAGTATCATGTCGGTTATCAATATAGTATATAAACGTAGACACATATATATTTCATGAATAAGTAATATACAAAAATACAGTTTTATGCTTTCTAATAACTTGTGAATAAATGGGCAGGGGTCGTGCATAGAGCGATAAATGTCTGATATTTCAGTGATCAAGGTAAAGCTGGGATCTTACCCTAAGAATATGGGATTTAAATTGAATTAAAATAAGAGCCATCCTTTCTTGTCAGGTCAGATCATTTTGAGGTCCTGGAATTGTTATTGGCTGTTTGTGTCCATGATGTTTGTGTAACTAGGTGTCATTGTAACAGGTCAAAAGTGTCTGTAAATGACTTGTGATAAGTGTCAGTTCTTTAAAAGTAAATGGTGTAAGTCATTTATAGTAAAGTAAACTTTGGACTAATGTGCAGTGGAGTTGAGAATGCTTTTGAAAAAAATGGTAAATTTAAAGTAACTGCTGTTAACCTGTAAAATACTTCCAATAAAACTGCATCATTGGTGAAAATTTGCTCTGATCAGGCTGTTTTGATACTAAGTTTCATATTTAATATTGAAAGGAAATTTTCAAGTAGTTAAAATGTAGCAATATTGCACAATAAACTTTCATTATATTGTAGTAGGTTTTCTTCTTGTTCAGGGAGATCTCTTGTAACATTTAGTGGTTAATGTGTCTTTAAAAGTAACTTTTTGTTTTGTGTTCAGGGTCTTCCTACTCAACCTTGCTATCTTGCCTCTCAGTGCCCTGATACATGTTTAAAAGATTGAACTTAATATAGCTGTCACGTAGAAGGCGTGTTTTTAATGCTGTAAATCCATGTAGTAGTCAGTAGCGTGTCCGTGATTTGTATTGGTCAGGGAGCAGTTTGAATTTTAAAAAGCCTGAAGATCCTGCTGAGCCCCAATCCCGGCCTCCCTCCCTCCCACTAATCTCCCATTCCTGTCTTTGTGCTGCCTGGTCCTGTGAGACACTGTTTGCAACAGGGCCTCAGGCCTACATGCATGGAGAGGAACCATTTACACTTTGATAAAGCAGCTTTTATTTTTAAACTTTATGAATTGCAGAGAGGGCTGCAAGTTGTCTCGAATTGTCCTGTCTCTGTGTGTAACTGAATTGCTGTTTTCTTTTGGGCCATAGAGTGTGTGGAGGCCGACGTAGTTCTAGTTTACAGGAAAGAAAGGACTGTACAAAAACAGTTGTTGTACTTGGGTAATTTTCATCATCAGGAAGCGACATTGGCCCTAGGGTTTCTCTCGTCATTTTTAAAAAAACAAGTCTCTGGAACAAGCAAAAATTAGTTTTGGTTAGATGACTGCTAATGAACTTGTTTGATTTATACACTTTAATTTCAGTAATTTAAATTAAATAAGGCAATTGACTTGAAACATGCAAGATATGAGTAGGAATTGAGCTGCTATATAGTTCCTGTCAAGTTTCTCTTCTGACACTGTTTACTGCTTGTTTTTAAAATCCCCAAAATACACGTTTCTGGATAAAATTCATATATATGAAAAATGAAAAACATGTTTATAAACAAATCTGTAAATTGCGGACTGTGTATTTGTGATTTTTTTTTAATCTTATTTTTTTCCTCTCGTGATATGCAGTGTGGTTAATTTGGAATTACTAGAGTTATCATGGGCTGCTTGGTGATATTTTTTCTCAAACTCAAAAAGATTTGAACATCTGGAAATTAAAAGTACTTACTGTACACACTTTACTGAGAGAAGTTAATATTTAGTTAACATTTTCAAAATGAAATTTTAAAAATTGTGGAAAACCAGAAATATTTAATTTTGATGCCTATTTCCCCCTAAGCATAAGAAACTGTACTTCCATTTGTCAGAACAGCTAGGTGTCCAAGAAGAAAATTTCTTAAAAAATGGGAACAGTTTACTTAAATAACTGTTAAGCACATAACCTTTAAAAGTCACACAGAAGTGATTTTTATTTATTAGTGTTAAAATAATCCTAGGTGTGTGAGTTGTAACTGAAAGAGAACAGAGAAAAACATTTTTCAGTTTATTTTGTACATTTCACAGCACTTTGTGTATGTTGTAGTTTGTTTTCCAAGTATAGTCACTTTGTTCCTTCTCCTATTTATGTGGGTTTTTTTACACAATTTGATTCCCACAAAAATTGGGAAAGATGTATTTCCTGAAGTTGCCTTTACATTTTTTTAAATAACCTGGGTTTCAGGATGAAGGTATATATTTAACTTAAAACATTTTAAAAAGGTGGTAACAATATACTTCTCTTATTTGTGAAAGTAAAACAGAACTCAGAATCATAAACCTGCCAGTACAATCAATTTTAGGCCCCAATCCTGCAATTGGACACATGGAGTGACTCTTGCACTATGAGGAGCCCTGTTGACTTAATTGGCACTCTGGGATCTAACTGCAGCATCAAGGCCTTAGATTGTAATTTCTTTGGGTCAGGGACTGTATTTTTTTTATGTTTGATAATTAGGACAAGGCAGCCTTGATGCTGATTGAGCCCTCTGGATACTCTTGCACTTGTATACAAAATACTTTGAAGAGTAATAGGTGAAAGAGATGCCAGTTAAACCAGGAAATGGTTTGAGCTAGGAATTGAAATAAGGTGTTCTATTGCAGTTTTCAGTGTCTTAAGCTGTTAAATGTGATGCTTTTATGTGCGCCAAACATATGTAGTAATACAAAAGTAATAATATTGATTTTATATTAAAATTTAGTTCATGAGAGCCATTCCAGAAACCAAAAACATTTCAGTGAAAAATGTCACACAGTAATTGCTTCAGAAAGAGAAACTAAATTGTGCAGCCTCAGTATCTAGAAGTAGAGAAGAAATTTCTTAAGTCTTGAAATTAAGAATTCAGGTAAATAGACTGTTGCTAGAAAATATTTGTTGGACTATATACTCTTTGGGTGTGTGCACACATGTATTCAATACTTATGGATAGTCTCTGGTGTGATGACTTCCGATTTAGGTTGGGGCTGGGGAAAGATTAGCCTATATTAGAATAGCTATTTTGTTTCTCAGAATATGATACCACAAAAACCAAACAAATAAAAAAACCCTGTTGCATTTAATGGGGGAAAGAACTGACTATTTTAATTTGGTACTGCTTCTTTTGAATCTTACTTTTTCCATTTTTTAGAAAATTTGCTATTCGGGTTAGTTTCTGATTTGAATAATCATAAAAGTCCAATTACATGGAGACCTCTTCAGGTCTATTGTTGATATGGATTCTCTGTGGAGACACTCTGTGTAAAAGATGACCTTTTTTTTAATCACAGAGAAACCCTTTTAAAAATAATTATTAAAGGACTGTAGTGAGGACTTACTGCTCCATTTATTTAAATTTGCATCTTTTTATTTCCTTTACAGTTATAGGCAGCATTTGCTTTAAGGGGCAAATCCAGAACCCCACCCCAAGTGGGTGCAAAGGGCCTTTTATGTTGGAACTGGTGCAGGTCTGCTTCACAAAGGTGAGAGAGTTGGGGGTGTACACCTTGAGGGGCAGAGGCTATGCAGAACCTGCAGTTCTCTTGCTTCCTGCTCCATTATCCACCCCAGAAAACCCTGATAGCAGTGGAGAGGATTTTGGCCCAAATGTACATATAACATTAACAGGAACTTCAGTTGAATTAAATTGATAATGCACAGAGATAGAACTTGAAGATTACAGTTCACTTGAGTGAAACTATAAAGAAAGGAACAATTCTTCAATATTCATGTCTTCCATGTTAAACTTGAAAGATTTGAATACAGTCTTTTTTGCCTTCAATAAAAATAAATTCTAGAAATGTTTCATCATATTGCTATTAGTATTTGAAATAAATCAATGTTACCTGTTTCTCAGTGATAGAATTTTCCCCCTTGACAGCGCTCTTTCATCCATAGGTCTCAAAGTGCTTTACAAATATGGGCAAGTCTCTCTAATTTTTGCAAAACAGTATTGCTAGGCATTGATGTGAAACATTTTATTCAAACTCTAGTCCATATATATACATATCATGTACAAAAGCTGTTAAAAGAATAGTAAGAGTGCAAAGTTAAAGGACTCAAAAATTAGGAAATGCCAGAATTAAAGTCACAATGCAACCTTAATTCAGCCCCCTTGTGTATATGCAGTTCTCTTTAGTTACATTATCACATACTGCTATTTTCCACAGGACCCAGGCCTCATTCAGTGCTCGGGATGGACAGTGCTCATTGACTAGCTACCTATTCATAATTTATTTTTATCATTATATGTGTGGCCCTATGGCTTATTTACCACGCACCATCCAAATTCTG